AGACAGAATATCCACGCATCACCGACAAGGCCATCTTCACACTACTTCCGTTTTCCACAACATATTTATGTGAGCAAAGTTTTTCAACGCTTGTATTAATTAAAAATGATAAACGGTCATGCTTAAAAGATCTTGACCAAGAAATGAGAGTTGCGCTGTCTAAAATTGAGCCGAATATAAAACTTTTGTGTTCAACGAAGCAAGCGCAGGTATCACATTAATCAGTCATCATCATGTCAAAATATTTATTACTATTGACGTGTCAACAGAAGTAAATTTAGTATACCTACCTGTCCTACCTAGTATTTAGTATAGTTCTCATGTATGTACCTATTTGTATTTTTCATTCTATCTGAATAATAAAAAAAAATAAAAAAAAAATATGTATTATGTCCTGAGTGAAAATTTTGATGCCCCAAATCTGAAAGGGGCTTCTTCACATTTTAAAACAATAAAAAAAACTAAGGTAGTTTGGACATCCATAAATAATTAGTATACATGGAGTGAACTGACCCCCGACCTAGCTACGCCACTGCTATAAATATATTTTAGATTTTGGTGTGCCACGAAATTCTAGGGAGCAGTTTGGTGTGCCTCAGATGAGGAAAGGTTGCGGAGCACTGGTTTAAACCATACTTTTAGCAGCTGTATTCCAAGAATATTAAGATTAGCCAACACTCATAACGATCTTGAGATATTTAACGCCCCCTTTCATTTTATAAAGCAATTACTTAGTACTGAGCTTTAATCTTTGATCTTTAATTTTTAATGTACCTAAATATTTTATTCAACCTTGTCTTTTTAAATCTTTTAAATTATTTACCTATTTCAGTCTATATGTAATGAATTATACCCAAAGAAGTAGAGAGGGTAGAACGATAAGGTACCGTCTGCGCATCCATCACGAGTGTAGAAATTATGCGTGATTCAGCCTTCCACTCTTACACACGTAAATGACAAGGAGAGGTTGCCCTAAAGCACTGTAAACAAATTCCAGGATCGACTTTATTCAGCGATTATGTTCATGTTCAGCTCTGTTTTTTGTTTGTGTTTTGGCTGTTGTAAGCTTTTTTGGCGTCAATTCTTTGTTATCTTGCTTATATTTATGATTTTCTATGCTTTTATTCCGATTTAGTATTAAATTATACTTGTTAATTATTTTTCGATGCACTATTTTATAATTGTTGCGCAAAATGTTGTTAAACCGTCTCTGAATTTTGTTTACAAAATGTGCAAAACGAAATTGTGCATAATGTCCAGACTTTTTCATTGACAGTTATCATTCTACCCCTCTTCACTTCATTGATTATACCACGATTGTATTTCAGCACCATATATATTTCATTACATTTTAATTATAATTTTAAAATTGTAATTTATTTCTCAAATGGGCTTGCCCGTAAATAAATAATCCAATAGGACAAATCAGGCGTCTAATATCAAATGTAGCAAAGTCCACTTTTCTAAATTTTCCACTACACAACAAAAACTATTTAAAAAATATTAGGATGTTACATAGAATTACTGTTTTGGCTTTTAAATGTGTAAATAAATTATTTTTTGTAAATTGCAGTCAAAATCGCCGTAAGATTTTAAATATTATTTTAAATTGGCTTTATATATTGGAGTTTGCTGTATTTGATATTCAAGGTTGGAGTTTGATATATATGATTTGTTCATGAAGGGAGATTGCTGTTTATGATAGTAAACTGGGGTTTGAAAACATCCAGGACTGTATTGAATACAAACACAGTTCTGCTCACTAATTAATACTGTGATTAACAGAAACTAAAAACAAATTGTTAATATTAAACAATGTGTCCATGGGCACCGATCAAAAAATTGCTGGGGGGCAAGGCTTATATGCAAATTCAAAATGCCGCAGGCTATAGATAAAAACCATAGCCAAAAATCCAAAATTGGAAATCCTGGGCGCTTGCCTTCGTGTGGCGGCGCCTATAAATGTGTCCCTTAAAGTTGACCACAAATGAGAAACTTTTTTATTATTAGTGCAAGCAAGAAACTAAAATAACAACGTTGCCAGTTAACGGCCGCCTAGATGCGTGGGCATAACTCTCGTGTATGCACCGTCGGCCGTCTGTGTGTATTGTACTATCTGTCTGCGCTCTGTGCTGTCTGATGTGAAGATATACCCACAATCCCAACGCAGTCAGGCCATTGGCAATGTTGATATTATTCGTTTTCTTTTCGAACTAATGCAAAGTCTCCGTAGTTTTCACTTCGACACTAGCAAACCGTATTAGATGGTTTTCAATAGCCGATACTGTATATGAATAAATAAATAAATATATATACAAACATGCACGAAAGTCCGGAATAAAATTATTAACTGTTCAACCAGTGATTTAAAAAATCGCTGAAACCATGAATTGATTTTACAGTGGACGTATTTGTTGCCAATAAAATGAAATTTTTTTTCTTTAACCCCTTAGCTGCAACCCTACCATATAGATTTACTAATTGCGGTCCTGGAAAAAATGTTGCTTATCTCAATCATTTTGCCTTATTTGCTTCTCAATTTTTGGCATTTCTAACACACTTTCTTGCGTGTTTTTTTATCTACAGGAGGACAAGAGACCTCCATTTTATAAATTTTCACTAAAAAATTCTTATTATTTTGATATTGTATACTAAAAAACAGTAATTAATTATGCACGTGTTGTTACAAATCGACTAAAGCTACCATACTCGTTTAACGTTTAACTACGTATTATTGGCTGAAAGTGACTTTGCTACTTTTGTTATGAGAAATTTGGAGATTGCTGTTTCTGATGCAAACTTACAACTTTGCTGAATGGTTTTACCAGCTTATTTCTGTTTTTGTTGCAAAATAAGAACTGATATTTTCATAAACAAACATTCCAAACCGGTACGACACAAAAAGCTTCAATCGGAAAATTTGGAGTTTGCTGCTTTTGATATTAGACCCCTGAAATAGTGCCAAAGCTAAATATCCTACTATTTGGCAGTTTCTCATCATGTACCATAATAACAAGGCGGAAAATTAAGACTAATGGGTCGATTCTGAGACAATGTATAAGATCTGTAACCCAAAATCTGTAAAAAAATTACATTACTATATCTTACAGATTCTGTAGCTTATAGGATATTTCCCAAAATCCTTCCATAAGTTTGTTAGTTTCAAATTACAGAATGAACTGAGTTAAACTTGAACTGCTAATAAATTTACGCATAGCGTACGCTACCCTACATATCCCTTTCGATTATAAAACCTGTCTTTGATTGGTTACGTTGGGTTCTTTTTACCTAATTTGCAGTTTAAACTTTATTTTAATCACCTTTAATATTATTTGAAGACACAAGTAAAATGTGTAAAAGAAGGTGATGTTCTTCTAACGTTTTTAATTTGTATAAATTAATTTACAAATGTAACATGCATATAAAATATAAATAACACTTTCATCTACTCGTCTTTATTTAATTTGTAACAAATTTATTATGACGGTGGTAATTTAATTCCATTATCGAGATTCAGGAATTTATACAAGAAATGAAGGTAAATCATTTATACACTTAATTAATTTTATTTTCAAATTTTAACAAAGGTATTAAATGTACCTAATTTATTAGTAATTTTTTCTGGATTCTTGGTTCTAGATCGTTTTAAACCTATGGCAATTACCTCTCTTTCCCTGGAATGACCCTTTTGTTTCATAGGTTTATGAGTCTTGATTTTTTCCAATAAATCTTTTTTGATATCTGAATTTTGTATCACATATGTTATTTCTGATGTTTAATTTTCAAGGGTCTGATTTAAAAACAAATAATTAAAGGCACTATTAAATTAAAACACTTAAATCTAAATTGTCTTCATTTTGAACTATGAACACTATTATTTGGATGGGTAAGGTAATAACCAGGATACCATGTCATGTGTTTACTATGTAGTAGGCTTTCTAGTGTTGATCTTTTATATTTTCTACCACCATTACAAGTATAGGTAATCTAATAGTATTTGAGGTCTTTATTCACCTTCTCTACCCGTTTTAGCAAGGTTTTCTTAGCAGAAATTAATATTAATAAGTCTTTTTTATTCAGTTGTACAAAATTTTGATCTTCATAGTTCTTTATAAATGTCTGTATCTCAAGAAAGATATATTGCAATAATAAAATAAACAGCCTAAGCCTAAATACTAAAAAAACAGATCTTAATCTCACTTTTATTCTGGAATTCGCCAAATTATGAATAATAAGATATTTAGCTTTGGTACTATTTGTCCCATTAGTCGGATATTTACCAAAATAGGCTATATGTCCTACTAGTAGGATACATAGACAGTACCTTATATATTTGGTGTCTCTGGAAGAACTAAAGACAGGGAAACTGTTTAACAGTTAAGAGAAAATTGTATTCATAAAGTTTTTCTTGTTTCAAAACTAATAAAACTATTCAAACAAGTTGAATATCTTTGCTTAAAGTGAAATAATGACAAACATTTTGATATTTTTACCACTTTATTAATGTGGTTTTTGATATTCTTGGATTGAATTTGATCTATATATATATAATTATCTGCAAATAAAAACTATCTAAAATGTATAGAAATTTGATTATTTGAATAAATTTTAGGAAATTTTAAATATTAGGTTATTTTCTTTCTTCTATACTTTTAAAATCTTATGGCCTCTTTCTTTAAGAAATTTGTTTTTCTTCTAATTTAAATTATCATTGCCTTGCCTTTTATCTCGTACAATAACTAGTTAAAACAATTTTTGCTAAATTATCAATTAAACCAGGCCAGTGGCTAACTGGCCAACTTTCTTTAAGAAAAAGGCCAGTAAATCTATGATTGTATAGAAGAAGACAGTTTTTTAGTTCATTTTCAAATTTAAAATTTTTACGATTTTTGTTTGTAGATGCAGGTATTTGTTGCAATTAATATAGTATAAGTTTCATGTTTCTAACTCTTTCAGCAAATCTGTTTGTGTAAATTAATATATCCTCTTTACTTTTATAGGCCTATTTTGGGATTTGATAATGGTCTTATGTTGGCATTCAACTTGATTTAAAATCTAGAAAAGCGGAAAATTAGATGGATGGAAAGGAAGTCCCAAATTCTACAAAATCGCCCTATGATTCTTGCAAAATAGCAGTACACAAACAAAGTAAGTACTAAGTATAAGAACTGTTTTAGCAACTTCATGTTCATAGTTGTTGGGGTTGAACACTTTAATAATGTGTTAGGCGCCGTTTGTCCTTAAAAAAATCTAGTTACGAAGAAGTTGACATTATTATTGATTAGATTGTTAGACTCTAAAATTGTACTTTTTCATTATATCTTCTGTAAATACGTTAATATATACAAGGATAGTTTCCAATGGTGGGTTTTATTTCATCTAAATACTAAATATTGAAAGAAATAGTTCCTTATAAACTTTCTGTATTGGGAATAATTTTTGAATATATAAGTAAACTTTGGAAAACCTTACAATAGTTTGCAAAAATCTTAATTAAATCATAAATAAAGAATGTATTGCATTTAAAAATATATAAATTCATAAACAGTATATTTTACATATTTTTACTTATCTTTATTTTATATAAGGCACCATTCTTGTTAATTATACATTATATTTCAAGGACACTACCCTATACATAACTATTTAAATTATTACAAACCATTTTAGAGGAAGCTTGATTTCTTTTTGATGTGTGAAAATGTTATATTGTTTTTTTCTATGCATAATAAAACTAATACAGATATTTTTATATTTTTAGAAGTAGAAGTTCCATCAACCAGCAATAAAATTCTTATGCCACTACGTATGCAAGAATGATTTATTCAGCTTTGAGAAAAAACAACTAATCCCAATTTTGCCAATTTGTTTTGCTTTTTACTTTTTTGCAGCTACCTATCTCTTTATGTAAACGACATTGCCTTAATTTAGTTGAAAATCACGCATTGAAGTTGTAGTGATAGAAACGAAACACTGCAGATTTTATTTTGTGAATTTGTTAAGGGTTTAAATAAAATGAGAGCATTTACAGATAATCTTGAACATTCAAAAGACCTGCTTGTGATTTATATGGTCAATTTTGTTTCGTTTCAGACTTTTAATTATCTAAAATTGTTTTTTGCTATGACTCCTTAATTTTAATGAAATGTTTGAGTTTTCTGCAGTGCTGACAAGATAAAACTTTCGGTCCCATTTTGTTAACGTTTGCGTGCAGGGCTGTTGAGAGCCATGGCAGCTGCCTGTGCCCTGGGGATTTTACTTCCCTTGCCCTTGCCAACCCCTCTCGACGGGCCTGTTCGCATGTGCAGAAGAGGGAAAAATGCATGGTATCGACGTTGCCAGTGACCAGATGGTAGCTCTCACTATCAATTAACGACTCTACATTGATACTGCTTCCTTTCTTTTCCTTACATGTCTGAACGTCATTATTTACTAATCAAACCAGCAAAGCAGGGTCTCTTTATTGTGTTTGTCAATATTTAAATGTACAATTTCTGTTTATTATGTATTTTTTTACAAATAAAACATCTTTAATCGACTTCTTTGTTTTTGTTTCTTAAATTAAATCCATTTCAAAGAACAAATCAGTTAAAAGGTGAGTAAGAAATGGCGGGAAAAAAGTACAAGCGCCATCTATCAGCTAATAGGAGAAGCTATACAATTTCAGATGTTCACTAATCGGCAACCAAGATTACACACTGGTGTATTCTGTGTTGCCTGTCAACTAGGAGAATATGAAAAGGAAAAATACTTCGACTTTTGAATTCTTGTGCTTTCATTATATCCATACCCTCCAATTAAAAATTTACAATGTTACCGCCGTTATAAAATTACCTCCTACATAATTTAATTGTTGGTAACTAAGAAAATTGCAAAAATATTTAAAATCTTCTAGATAGAAAATAAAAGAGTTCGCCTCGCCATTTCTTGTACTCTCATTTTTTTTATTCCTTAGTTAATAATAATCGAATTATTCCATAAATTTACAAAAAGATGGAGCCGGACGGATAGTTTATATTGTTTAAGTCGGTGGTCCATATCTTGAGTAGTTTTTAGTAGTTATTCACATTCAAACATACGTCAAATACCTTGTCGCGTTTCTGTTATCCTAATACCAAAATTTTATAGACAAAATTGGATCTTTTCGAATTCGGAACTTTGTATCAGGATAATAGAAACGCGAGAAGATATCGAAAATTTTTATTTTTGCCACAACTTTTTTAATATTGCTCTTAGAAAAAAACTGAGTGTATTTCTGAGATCTACACATGACCCTCTATCCGTATGCAAATTTAAACAGTTTTTTATTTGTTCAAAAAAATCGAAAGGGTATAGCCTTCCAAATTTTTTGACAAAAATTTTTTTTGTCTCCGATCTTGATGAAAATTGGGGTACATATAAAAGAAAACAAGAGGAATTAAGGGGTGAACTCAGTTGCTCCCTACCTATAAGGGTTAACTTTTCTTTTTTAATTCCTCAGTTAATAATGATCGAATTGTTCCATAAATTCACATAGACGTAGAGCCGGACGGATAGTTTAAAATGCCCTTTGCCGCTTGCCTCTATCTTGCGCCGTTTATAGTAGTTATTCACATTTAAAATAAAGTCAAATACCTTGTCGCGTTTCTGCTATCCTGGTACGAAAATTTTGAGACAAAATTGGATCTTTTCGAATTCGGAACTTTGTATCAGGATAATAGAAACGCGAGGAGATATCGAAAATGTTTATTTTTGCCACAACTTTTTTAATATTGCTGTTAGAAAAAAACTGAGTGTATTTCTGAGATCTACATGTGATCCTCTATCCGTATGCAAATTTAAACAGCTTTTTATTTAAAAAAAAAAATCGAAAGGGTATAGCCTTCCAAATTTTTTGACAAAAAATTTTTTTGTCCCCGATCTTGATGAAAATTGGGGTACATATAAAAGAAAACAAGAGGAATTAAGGGGTGAACTCAGTTGCTGCCTACCTATAAGGGTTAACTTTTCTTTTTTAATTCCTCTGTTAATAATGATCGAATTGTTCCATAAATTCACATAGAGGTAGAGCCGGACGGATAGTTTAAAATGCTCTTTGCCGCTTGCCTCTATCTTGCGCCGTTAAGTAGTTATTCACATTCAAACATACGTCAAATACCTTGTCGCGTTTCTGTTATCCTAATACCAAAATTTTATAGACAAAATTTGGATCTTTTCGAATTCGGAACTTTGTATCAGGATAATAGAAACGCGAGGAGATATCGAAAATGTTTATTTTTGCCACAACTTTTTTAATATTGCTGTTAGAAAAAAACTGAGTGTATTTCTGAGATCTACATGTGATCCTCTATCCGTATGCAAATTTAAACAGCTTTTTATTTAAAAAAAAACTCGAAAGGGTATAGCCTTCCAAATTTTTTGCCAAAAAATTTTTTTGTCCCCGATCTTGATGAAAATTGGGGTACATATAAAAGAAAACAAGAGGAATTAAGGGGTGAACTCAGTTGCTGCCTACCTATAAGGGTTAACTTTTCTTTTTTAATTCCTCAGTTAATAATGATCGAATTGTTCCATAAATTCACATAGAGGTAGAGCCGGACGGATAGTTTAAAATGCCCATTGCCGCTTGCCTCTATCTTGCGCCGTTTAGTAGTTATTCACATTTAAAATAAAGTCAAATACCTTGTCGCGTTTCTGTTATCCTAATACCAAAATTTTGAGACAAAATTTGATCTTTTCGAATTCGGAACTTTGTATCAGGATAATAGAAACGCGAGGAGATATCGAAAATGTTTATTTTTGCCACAACTTTTTTAATATTGCTGTTAGAAAAAAACTGAGTGTATTTCTGAGATCTACATGTGATCCTCTATCCGTATGCAAATTTAAACAGCTTTTTATTTTTTCAAAAAAATCGAAAGGGTATAGCCTTCCAAATTTTTTGACAAAAAATTTTTTTGTCCCCGATCTTGATGAAAATTGGGGTACATATAAAAGAAAACAAGAGGAATTAAGGGGTGAACTCAGTTGCTCCCTACCTATAAGGTTTAACTTTTCTTTTTTGATTCCTCAGTTAATAATGATCGAATTGTTCCATAAATTCACATAGACGTAGAGCCGGACGGATAGTTTAAAATGCCCTTTGCCGCTTGCCTCTATCTTGCGCCGTTTAGTAGTTATTCACATTTAAAATAAAGTCAAATACCTTGTCGCGTTTCTGCTATCCTGGTACGAAAATTATGAGACAAAATTGGATCTTTTCGAATTCGGAACTTTTTATCAGGATAATAGAAATGCGAGGAGATATCGAAAATGTTTATTTTTGCCATAACTTTTTTAATATTGCTGTTAGAAAAAAACTGAGTGTATTTCTGAGATCTACATGTGATCCTCTATCCGTATGCAAATTTAAACAGCTTTTTATTTAAAAAAAAACTCGAAAGGGTATAGCCTTCCAAATTTTTTGACAAAAAAATTTTTTGTCCCCGATCTTGATGAAAATTGGGGTACATATAAAAGAAAACAAGAGGAATTAAGGGGTGAACTCAGTTGCTCCCTACCTATAAGGGTTACCTTTTATTTTTTAATTCCTCAGTTAATAATGATCGAATTGTTTCATAAATTCACATAGAGGTAAAGCCGGACGGATAGTTTAAAATGCTCTTTGCCGCTTGCCTCTATCTTGCGCCGTTAAGTAGTTATTCACATTCAAACATACGTCAAATACCTTGTCGCGTTTCTGTTATCCTAATACCAAAATTTTATAGACAAAATTTGGATCTTTTCGAATTCGGAACTTTGTATCAGGATAATAGAAACGCGAGGAGATATCGAAAATGTTTATTTTTGCCACAACTTTTTTAATATTGCTGTTAGAAAAAAACTGAGTGTATTTCTGAGATCTACATGTGATCCTCTATCCGTATGCAAATTTAAACAGCTTTTTATTTTTTCAAAAAAATCGAAAGGGTATAGCCTTCCAAATTTTTTGACAAAAAATTTTTTTGTCGCCGATCTTGATGAAAATTGGGGTACATATAAAAGAAAACAAGAGGAATTAAGGGGTGAACTCAGTTGCTGCCTACCTATAAGGGTTAACTTTTCTTTTTTAATTCCTCAGTTAATAATGATCGAATTGTTCCATAAATTCACATAGAGGTAGAGCCGGACGGATAGTTTAAAATGCTCTTTGCCGCTTGCCTCTATCTTGCGCCGTTAAGTAGTTATTCACATTCAAACATACGTCAAATACCTTGTCGCGTTTCTGTTATCCTAATACCAAAATTTTATAGACAAAATTTGGATCTTTTCGAATTCGGAACTTTGTATCAGGATAATAGAAACGCGAGAAGATATCAAAAATTTTTATTTTTGCCACAACTTTTTTAATATTGCTCTTAGAAAAAAACTTAGTGTATTTCTGAGATCTACAAGTGACCCTCTATCCGTATGCAAATTTAAACAGTTTTTTATTTGTTCAAAAAAATCGAAAGGGTATAGCCTTCCAAATTTTTTGACAAAAAATTTTTTTGTCCCCGATCTTGATGAAAATTGGGGTACATATAAAAGAAAACAAGAGGAATTAAGGGGTGAACTCAGTTGCTCCCTACCTATAAGGTTTAACTTTTCTTTTTTGATTCCTCAGTTAATAATGATCGAATTGTTCCATAAATTCACATAGACGTAGAGCCGGACGGATAGTTTAAAATGCCCTTTGCCGCTTGCCTCTATCTTGCGCCGTTTAGTAGTTATTCACATTTAAAATAAAGTCAAATACCTTGTCGCGTTTCTGCTATCCTGGTACGAAAATTATGAGACAAAATTGGATCTATTCGAATTCGGAACTTTGTATCAGGATAATAGAAACGCGAGGAGATATCGAAAATGTTTATTTTTGCCAAACTTTTTTAATATTGCCGTTAGAAAAAACTGAGTGTATTTCTGAGATCTACACATGACCCTCTATCTGTATGCAAATTTAAACAGTTTTTTATTTTTTCAAAAAATCGAAAGGGTATAGCCTTCCAAATTTTTTGACAAAAAATTTTTTTGTCCCCTATCTTGATGAAAATTGGGGTACATATAAAAGAAAACAAGAGGAATTAAGGGGTGAACTCAGTTGCTGCCTACCTATAAGGGTTAACTTTTCTTTTTTAATTCCTCAGTTAATAATGATCGAATTGTTCCATAAATTCAGAGGTAGAGCCGGACGGATAGTTTAAAATGCCCATTGCCGCTATCTTGCGCCGTTTAGTAGTTATTCACATTTAAAATAAAGTCAAATACCTTGTCGCGTTTCTGCTATCCTGGTACGAAAATTTTGAGACAAAATTTGATCTTTTCGAATTCGGAACTTTTTATCAGGATAATAGAAATGCGAGGAGATATCGAAAATGTTTATTTTTGCCATAACTTTTTTAATATTGCTGTTAGAAAAAAACTGAGTGTATTTCTGAGATCTACATGTGATCCTCTATCCGTATGCAAATTTAAACAGCTTTTTATTTTTTC